CTGAGCCGGTGAGATTTGAACAGCCGAACTGCAGAACTGCAGTCAGCTGAAGTAGCCTGCAGTACTGCATTTAACCACTGCGCCACCTCGGCTCGACTACCTGTACCTAAACATATCTCAGTAGTTTCCCTGGAAATCTTTAGAATTGGCTTTGCTTCTTCCATAACAGTATGGATCTATCAGTAACATTATACAGGTAATCCTTGACTTATAAAGTTCATTTCCTGACTGTTCAAAGTTACATCACAGAAAAAAAGTGAGTTATGATCATGTTTCACACTTATGACCATCGCAGCATCCCCATGGTCACAAAATTCAAACAGTTGGCAACTGACTCATATTTACGACGGTGGCAGTGTCCCGGGGTCACGTGATCCCCTTTTGCGACCTTCCGACAAGCAAAGTCAATGGGGAAGCCAGATCCACTTAACAACCATGTTACTGACTTAACAGCTGCCGTGATTCACTTAACAACTGTGGCAAGAAAGGTTGTAAAACGGGGCAAAATTCACTTAACAAATTTCTCGCTTAGCAACATACATTTTGGGCTCAACAGTGGTCATAAGTCGAGGACTACCTGTGCTCTTGGTAAAATTATGTCCCAGGAGTTTCTTTTTTTTTCTGCGTATGCCAATGAGTCAATTGACATGGCTAGTTTCTCCAATGGAAAAGTAGTTGCCCCCCTTGTGTTGCTACTGCGGTGGAAAAGATTACCTTCTGATTTGGTCAGCTCTTTATTTATTATTATTTATTAAATAAAATGTATATGGCCACCCTGTTCTGATCGAGGCTTCCCAAAAGCATGAAGCAAACTCCTTATCCCAGCGAAAAACCCTTTTATTAATTTGCTGTGAATTCCCTCTCATTCACAGCCAGCAAAGTCTTTGAAAGGAGGATTTACAATCACAGACCTTATCTGGCTTGGAGAGCTGCCAGGCCGATATCTGCAAAACTTGGCAAGGGGTCCTCAACTTAACGACCACAAATGGGACCAGGATTTCTATTCTTGAGCCAGACGATGGTTAATTGAGTTAGATTTAGATTTAGAGATTTAGATACTTTATTTGTATGCCGCCCTTTTCCCTGAGGGGACTCGGGGCGGCTCACAATTCAGGGGGAGGGAGGACAACCTTTGGGGTATCCAACTAGGGACGTGGTGGCTCGGGGGCTAAGACGCTGAGTTTATCAATCAGAAAGTCCAGCAGTTCAGTGGTTCGAATCCCTAGCGCCACGTAATGGAGTGAGCTCCCGTTACTTATCCCAGCTTCTGCCAACCTAGCAGTTCGAAAGCAGGTTAAAAATGCAAGTAGAAAAATAGGGAACCACCTTTGGTGGGAAGATAACAGCATTTCGTGCGCCTTCGGCATTTA